TGTGTGTGTGTGTGTGTGTGTGTGTGTGTGTGTGTGTGTGTGTGTGTATGCATATGCATGTAGAAGCCAAAGGTCAGCCTCGAGGGTCCTCCCTTAGGTGCTGCCTACCCTGTTTTTTGACACAGGCCACTGAGACTTTCTGATTATACCAGGCTAGGCCGGCAGCAAGCCCAGATGTCCGCCTGTCTTTGCCTTCCCAGTGCTGTGGTTATGGACTCTTAAACATGGGTTCTGAGGACTAACCTCAGGTCCTCGGGCTTGCATGGTGAGGACTTTACTGACTGGGCCATCTCCCCAGCCCTCTCACAACATTGACTCGGCTATCAAGGTAAACAGTTAGAAAGAAGGTCCAACCTCTCAACGTTGCAATGCACCCATGCATGTTAAGGTTTCACGATAAGAATCCGCATAGCTTCCTCAGACAACAGGAATGACTGGGGTTGTAGCATGGCTTGTTTTTCTAGAGCTTTTCTATGAGAGAGTGTTTGTCACAGCATGGTCAAACAGGTAACAGCCCGGCCTGACGCCACTATCCTGAAGAAGTCAAGAGCGCTGGAAAATGGAATGAGGCAAACGGGAGTCATGGTTCCCTGAGGAAAATAAGATTCTAAGAGAGAGGGAATGGTGTAATAGGAAGGTGAAGGGACCTGGTGAAGTGGCTTGCTGGCTGACAGCACTTGTTCAGCCTGATGACCTGAGTGCAGTTCCCAGGACCCACGTGGTGGGAGAGAATTCCTGCAAGTTGTCCTCTGACTGCCATGGGCACAATGTGGCAAAACTGTGCCCACACACTTATACGCCACAAGCACACACATACATAAATTAAACGATGTGATTAAGAACGTTCTCAAAAAGGGAAGGAGTAGAAAGTCAGCAGGAAGATTCCGAGAGGTCTGGAGGTCAGCCAGTGACCATCACCCATGGGAACAGGCTGCTGGCACAGACGACCCCCACCTAATAAAGTGGATGCCCCAGGATGCCCGACCTGTGGCGGTATACCACGGTGGCTGTTAATATCATTCTGTAGACTTTCGTGTTCTAAATTTATCTCATGAGCAATGTTTTAAGACCTAGGGAGGGACTTGTTTATGTTTCTTAAGCATATTTTTTTTAATCATAAAGAAAGGTTGGCTTCCCTATCAATTAAATCTTGCTTCAATTAGTGCAAGTATCCTTTAGGTCATTACATTAAGTGCTTGAAATTCTGCTTAAAGAAGGTCACTTTCAATTTAGTAAACATCCCTAAATCATCACGTTAATTCTCGCCAGTCACCCTAAGAAATGCTGAGTCAGTAAACACAATCAAGCATTAGCTAACTAGCCATGGATCCACTTGGCTTTATTAATTTCTCTCTTGGCAGAGAAGAAAAGGGAGCAAACCATCAGAGACATTTACGCATCGTTCATTAAATAAATATTTATTAAATGCCTAGTGCCAGGCACTATGTTAAACTAAATATAGGTTTCTTTGAGTTATTAATATTCCCACATTATATATGTGAAGTTTTCTAAAGAATAAGGTACTGTTTTCCATAAATAAACCATTTTAATTCCCAAGATGCTCTGTCTTCACTTCTGACCTCATGCCTTCCCCCCCTGGAGTGAGTTGCACATACTAGAGAGAGCTATCAGACCCCTTACCTCTGAAAGACTGTGCTCATATATCAAAAACTTAATGAGCAGAAACTCAGACTAGAAGCACTAGAAAAACACTGTGTTTAAAGTTCTAGGAAAAAAGAAGAAATAAATGGTTCATATTATCACACTAGGTATTTTTGTGCTTTTGGGCATTTGGGCTTTGTTTTAAGGGGAGCAACATACTTGTTCAAAAAAGTCTTTTAAAAATATTAATGTGAATGAACACACACACACACTCTAAATGTAACAAGGATGTATACAGCCTATAAATAAAATCTTAAGAGTCCCACTTTATCAGAGAAATTCCCTTGGAATTTTTTACAAAGGAGGTAAACCCCTTTCCTATCTTCTAAAAACAACTGGCACCCATCAAAATTCAGAATCCTAGAAAAGGTCCACTCTGAAAGGTGATCATCAGAAAAGATGATGGGGCTGGATACAGACGAGATTTCCACTCTGAATCAGGGGGCTTCAATCTAGCCAAACCCTGACACCTCCATGAGGAGCTGATATGAACACTCTAAGCATGTATTGACACACGCATGTGCACAGTGCTCTCATGTGTCTCCCCTCCCACACACCTCCACATGCCTGGCTCCTCCAGAGGGCAAACTTACCTACATACACAAAACACCTCACCACCACCCAGAAGAAGAGATGAGAAGCCTCTCCCTCTGCTTCCCCACCCCCACCCCCAGTCTCCTGAGGCTGCTGACATCACAAAAGTGTCAACTGGCAACCTCATTGTCATGTGGTTCTCCCCTGGCTCCCCTTCACTTAAAAGGCAGGGAAAGGGTGAGACCTTTCAAGGCCGCCAAGCGGGCAAGCTTCCAACAACACTCCGGACTGAGCAAGCCAAGCGGCAGAGCCACCAAGCCGGCAGCAGGGCACTGGGCCTCTCGTTTCAACTTCTGTTCAGTTCTCCTGTAATGGAAAATTGCTTTACACAAAGCTAGAGTGTTACAGTTTTTTCCAGCACCCATCCCCTGCCCTGCCCCACCCCTCGGCAGCCTTCAGATCAGAAGGACAGCTTGTACCCGCCCTCAGGAAGGTAGAAGGAGGGGAACCGTGGCTTCTTACTATGTTCCTTGCTTCAGACCCTGGCCCCCAGTTGTTACTACTCTTTTCTTTTGGAATGGGGATGGCAGCAGGGTCCAAGTGTCCACAAAGTTGTCTGTGTCAAGACCAAGAAGTAGCCTGCACAGATTTGGAGCTAACAGAATACCCCAATGACATTCCTCTGAACACCCGGAGGCTATTCTTGAATAATAACAAAATCACTAGTTTACCAGCTTTGCAACTAGGATTTCTCAGTGACCTTGTTTACTTGGACTGTCAGAAGAACCGGATTCGAGAGGTGATGGATTACACTTTCATCGGGGTCTTCAAACTCATCTACCTTGACCTCAGCTCCAACAACCTAACTTTCATCTCCCCAAACAGTTTCTCAGTGCTTGGTAACCTGGTGCGGCTGAACATTTCAAACAACCCTTACCTGTTGTATCTTGACAAATACACCTTTGCCAACACCAGCTCTTTGAGGTACCTGGACCTCAGAAATACCGGATTGCAGACGATCGACGAAGATGCTTTCCAACACCTGGTGGTGCTAAACACGATGTATCTAAGTGGAAACCCCTGGAACTGCAACTGTTCTTTCCTGGACTTCGCCATCCACTTATTAGTGTCCCAGATGGAAACACCAGGTGAGGGATTGATTGAGAATGGGGAAAAGGATATGATGGAGGAATAGGAGGAATTGGTTTCTCAAAGGGTAAGTCAAGATGGTCGGGTGGGAAGGAAAGCTGGGTGAAAATACTTGAAAGCGTGGTTGTTTGGGCTGGTCCCTCCTTGGGTTGACTGGAGAGACAATAAGACTGTAGGAAAAGTTCTAGAATGAGAATTCATAGTTCAAACATGTCACCTAACAACTGTCTGCCTTTAGAAGAAAATAGCATTTCTCTGTGCCTCAGTTTCCCATCCATGAAACTGGTACATATTACATAATTTTCAGAACTGTAGCCAATGAAATGTGTATGTAAATGGTAAGTACTGTAATTGTAAGGTAACAAAGTAATCCAGGGATGCTGGGCTCCAATGGTAAACTGTCTTAATCTGATTGATGCGGTGACTGAATTTTTTCCAGGCTCGAAAATAAACTCAGCCATTCATAGGTGAGAGAGACTCCAAACAGACTAAGGGAAAGTTCCACAGGGTGAAAGAGGCACAGGAGCTCCAAAGACAGCAAAAGACAGAGGAGAGAAGGAAAGCCTTGGATAGGTCTATTTCAAAATACTGGCCTCTCAAGGAAGGAGAGACTAGGATGAATCAGGGGACAGGTCACAATGCTCAGTGACAGGTTGGGAGAGTCCAGCATTAGAGCCTTACCTGGGAAAGTTCCAAGGTAGTTGCTTGCACTGACCCAACCCTCTCTGCCATGGCTCCTTCAGTACCCCAATGCCTCACATCCTTTTCCCGGGGACTCTCTGTATCCTTCAACCCCAGGGAAGTCAGAGCTTCTGAGAGATAAGGCCCCTTAGAAAGGCTGGAGCCACTGGTATTGTCCCGCTGACGTGGCAGTTCCTGGCCAAGAATGACACTGCAAGAGCTAGTGGAGAGAGAGAATCAGGATGACTCCAAGTAATAATCAGCACTACAGAGCTCCCAGTGGCCATGTTTCAAAAAGGCCTTCCAGGCAGGAAGTACACCAGAGTGAAGCAAGCTGGGATTTCCAGACCAAATTTAAGGAGGCACTGACAATAAGCACTCAGAGCGAGTGCCCCCTTATCTTTTGTGCCCTGGGCATCTGACTCTACTGCCCAAACGTGCATCTTGACTTGTTAGAATGAACAAAAAGGAACTGTAACATTGTTAGAAATCCTCTCAGTAGCATTAAGAGTGAAGAAAATGTCTTCCCCTTCCCTGATAACCACTAACTGCCAAAGGTTCCTCAGGAAGGGGTAAGACCTTATGAGCCTCTCCCCGATCCCACCACAGAATGTTGAGTGGCCCAACCTTGTGCTAGTCTTGTATTATCCACCTATACATACAAATCTTTCTTGAGCAGTGGCCACCAGGTTGCCAGGGCAACCTCCTACCCTAGCTGACTACACCATGGCAACTTGCCTTCTATTCCGGCTTCCAAGCCTACTGTGCAATCCACCAGTCTTTCACCCCCCATACAATTTTCCTTAATCAAATTTCTGCTTTTACAGTTGTGTCTTCTCAGAATTTTCAGGCTGACTCCTTGACTTTTTTAATTTGGACCAAATTGAACAAGATTATAAAGCAGGTCTTTTTCACTGCATGTTTTCAAAGGCAGCAGAAGGCATAACTATCTTGCCAAGCTCATAAATCCTTCATAGATAAAAGGCAGACAGTTTTCCTTGACTGGCCAATGGGACCTACAGCTGGGCTGCTCATCCCCCTCTGCTGTCCAGAGGCCCAGAGGAAGCTTCCAGGCCACTTCTTGGAGAAATATCTCAGAAAACACCAATAGGCCAAGGCCAAATAAATCTCTGTAACAGGGACAGTTTTTCCTTGCAAGTCTCATTTTCTTTGCTTGGGTGTTACACCAAACTTTAAATAAATTTTGTACTATCAGCCTGTGGAAGAGCCTAGGATTGGTATTTTTAAGCTTGTCCATTGGATGAAAACACGGGCTGGCATGACCAAAGTCACACACGTTTAATAAACGTAAAGAAAGTGATTTCAAGCCAACGTCTGAGCTGTACTCAGTTTAGAGTCAGCTGGCAAAATACCTGAGAGAAAAACCACTTACTTCAGCTCAGAGTTCTGAAGATTCTGTGATCTGCTTTTGGACCTGTAGCAAAGCGATGTCATAGTGAGTGCCTGTGGCAGAGGAAGCTGCCAGAGGGACTAGGGTCCCAACACCCCCTTCAAGGGCATGCACCCAGCCGCACAAGTTCCTCTAACTACTCCCCTCCTCTTAAAGGTTCCTCCACCTACTAATAGCTGCAGGGAATAGGGATTGAACCTTTAACTTTTCTCAAGGAACTTCCGGAAGCTTGTTAGATCCAAACTACAGCAAGGTCTTTATGAGAGTGTACTATTTTTTAAATCTGAAAACCATATAACTATCATCTTATATCAGGTGAGTTAAAACATAACTAAGCTAGTTTTATTTCTTATCTGTGTACTACTTAGAACTCACAAAAGATCATATACTTTGGTTAACAGGTACTATCAAAAAGTAACTGCAATACTCCCTTTCCCCTCAGATTTTACATAATCTACCCAATCTCTAAAAGGAGAAATCTACTTTAGTTCTGGTTCTCACGTGGGTCTTATTCAATCCCATATCCATTCTCTCCCTCCTCTTTTTCTTACTTGCACAACTTTCACACACACACATTTAAAAAAATCATGAGCATACATGCATGTGAACACATTAAAAAAACACATGAACATACGAACGCAAAGAGAGGTATAGCCATGTACATATACGCATACCTACCTATAAATTACATCTCCATAACATACATACATGTATAAATGCACATGTGTCTATGCATGCACACACAAACATACACCAAGATGAACACACAGATAATTCACTAGAAGCCACTCACCCTTTAGCTATTGTTTAATGCGGAGGAGGCGTTATCTCTTTTGGCTCACCTGTAATCACTCTACAAGTTTGATGTTCCTTCACCTCCACGCAAACATTCTTGGTGAACTCCCAATTGCAAACTCTCCTACTTACATATGGTGAAGCCGGCATGTTCTAGAGCAGAACCCACGCTTCTCTCCTTGGACACCCACAGTTGAGGATATAGGAAGAAAGCAATGACATAAGCAGGGTAACCTGACTGTAAAGGAGAGCACAGTTCGTGAGTAAGTGCCTTTGACAGGAGAAGGTGCTGTCCTTTAGCATTAGTCCAGATGCTGTAGTCAAATCTACATGTTCCTCATCAAAGAAGTGAGGGGCTGGGAAGAGCTGAGTGGGTAAGAGCATTTGTTCCTGCGGAGGACCTGGGTTCAGCTTTCCAGCTCCCCGCTCTCAGACAGAAGCTAACTACTGTCTATCACTCCAGTTCCGCAGATCTGACACCCTCTTTTGATCTCAGCAGGCACTGCATGTGTGCGGTACACTTCCGGTACATGCAGGCAAACCACCTGCCCGTACATATAAAAAATAGTTTTTTAAAAAGCAGTGAAGTACAGCCAGCCATGATGGCACCTGTAGTCCCAGCGCATGGGGAGGCAGAGGCAGGCGGATCTCTGTGACTTTGAGGCTGACCTGGTCTCTCTACAAAGAGAGTCCAGGACAGCCAAGACTACACAAAGGAACCCTATCTTGGCGGGAGAGGAGGGAAGATAAAAGCAGTGAAGTAACAGATTTCTCTGCTACCACTTAGTTCATTGAAGTTCATCCCTTCAAGCATGTTTTGAGTGACCCCCATTGCCAAACAATCGCCAATGGGTATAACTAACCCAGGCTCTGGGGTGGACACAAAGATTCACACAACACTAGGAGAACAGTGCCATCATTATGTCCCCCAAGGTCAGGGGCACAGGAGAACTAAATAGAACTGAAACCAGTAGATGCCTTAGACATCAGCCTTGGCTACAAGTGACAGGAGAGCCACCATGCAGGCAGCAGAGCCCAGAGCAAAGAGCTCAGGTTCTCAAGAGAATCAGACTCGGGCTAGGATCCTAGCCTGCCACTTGCTATCTATAGGATATCAGAGAAGTCAGTTAACCTCTCTGAACTCCAATTTCTTCATCTTTAAGACGTGGATAATAATAGAAGCAACCTACCTAGGGCTGTCATGATGATGAAACAAGAACATTTATGCACAGCTATTAGCCTGGAGCTTGAGACTTCATAAGCATTCTGTAAACAAATGGTTGGTAGATGTAAGAGAAATGAACAATGCTATAGAGAAGATGTCAGCCAAGTGGTTCCCTGGACAAGAGGTGGACTTCAGGAGGACTCAGCACACAGAAGGCTGTATAGAAACAGGACTGTAGAGATGCAGGCAGGGTGCATAAAATCTGGAAAGGTGATTGTTAAGTCCTTGAATTTTAATCCATGAGGAAAGAGGTGAGGGGATTCCTGGAAGGAGTCAGATGCTAGATAAGTTGTGAACACAGAGTTCCGGACCCTGGAGAGCCAATCTAAAAGGCAAAAATCAAGATGTGGTTCTCTATCAGTGAGTTATGAGACTTGGGACTGGACCAGCAACCCCAAGCTGGCTGTGCCTGCATCACTGAGCCTGGATCTTAAAGTTCCACCCACAGGAAACCCCACTTCCAGAGGCAGATGCGGATGTGCCTCTTCTAGGTCAGAAGGCGAGCAGGTTAGTCCAGCTGTGGGGCAGCATAGCGTTGTGACTTGTGAGTGCTGAGCAGAGCTTTACTCCAATTCTCCCCAGCTGCTGCCTACTCCTGAGCTGAAATTAGACATAGGATGTTCACACCCCCAATGTCATGCCCTTGAAAAGGTCCCTGCAAGACTACTAACTTCTTGAGGAGAATAAGTATCCCTAAGCCATTATCGGCTCTCCTGTCAGAGGAAGGAGTGAGTTACTGGGCTCTCTGACTAGCTAAGATGAATTCTGCAACAGAGGAAAACCTTGAAGGAAGCAGAGGTCCTGAAAAGAAATGGAGGGGCCTCAAGAAAAGGCGTGAGGGTATGTCCTTCTCCTACATCATATCCTGGGTTCAGGGGACCCCCCCA